AATCCTTAACTGCATTCCTGCTCATATCTCTCTCTGCCACACACCCTGATGTTGGTACATGCACCTGAGCCAATAACTTTGGGTATTTTGCCCAGCAGCCACCCCTTCTTCTTGTGAGTTGTCCTGACCTGGTATCGCAGTAAATGTTAGTCACTTAAAGTTTTTCCTGTGCCTTCCACTGGACTGTTGTTCCTAGTATGTGGTGTGGTCATCTGTTTTTCATGCAGGGACTTTAGGTTTGTTCTGCTGCTATCTATGTATAGAGGAGGCAAACCCTGTGTCTTCATTCTGCTACCATCTTGTCCCATTGAATTACTTCTTGTTCACACACAGGTTAAGAGTCAACCAAATAAAGGATTAGGAAAAAAATAATAACAATTAAAAAAACAAAACAAAAAAAATAAACAGACAACTATAAATCAGAGGCATTCTGCAGGGGAGGAGGGAGAAGGATCAAGACGGGGGCAGGAGGATCACAAGAGACTATGGTGATGGTGAATTGGTAGTGGAAATTCTATAGGGACTACATCTGAGAAAAGAAAGCAAACACTGTAAAAAAAAAAAAAAGAAGAATGAACAATGATGTAAAATTTTAAAAAATGAGTTATCAAGAACTCAAGGGAAATTTTTGGCAGATTTTTAAGCCTTCTCTGCAACTACCCCTCTCAGAGATTTTGCACAAATCGAAGTCACTTTGACAACTGTAAATTATAACTATTTTCTCTGCAGGGAGACTTTCATCCTTTCCTTAGATTCTGTTTCTCTATGATTTGGAAAAATTCTCTCAGCAAGAGAGCTATGTTGAATGTTAGTTAGTTCAAGCATTTCAGACCTGTGTTTATCACTATTCAAGACCTGCAGACAACACTTTAATGTATAGTTTTCCAGATTTAATGGTTATATATGGTGAGCAAGTGATATTAACTTTTTCATATCTGAAACTGATACCCCCTTCATAAAAATACTAATTAGAGTAGCTATTATTGTTAAATATTTACAGTATTTCAGTAATTTACATGTCTTTTCTAATTTAGTAGCAGCAAAAAAATCTGTAAGGTAGATAGCATTGTTACTCCACTTTTACATAAAAAAAGTGGGGAACCATTAAACTTGAATAGTTTGTTCAAAGATCACTTGAAAATTATTAAAGCCAGTGTTGGGATATTAGCAGGATGACTCTAGAGCCTGTGCCTTTATCAAATGTATAATTCATTAAATAAATGTTTCATTTTATTTAATAAAAACATGTGGTTGTAGTGCACACAAATAAATTACCTTTGTAACTCAGCTTTTGTAGTTCTGGCACATAAGCATTTTTAAAGTAAAGACAAATATTCATAAATTTAACATGTTTACTTAAAAAGTAATGCACTTTGTATTTTAGATAGAAAAATTGATACAATAATAGAGTTTACATATGTTCCACGCCTAGTTCCCTTAGTTTTTTTTTTTGAATTTTTATTTATTTATGCATACAAGAACTGGGATACAGGCCAGAGGTGTGGGAGGTGAGAGGATTCACCAGAGACAGAGTGGGGAACAGAACAGGCAGACTGACTGAAATACACTACTGAGGGGAGCAGCAGACGAGACAGGAGAGGTCTGCCTTGCCATGTGGATTGCTTCCTGGCCAGGAATCGAACTCTTGCTGAATAGGCTGCAGACAGCTTCATAGGTTGCATCTTAACCCCTTGTGCCACCAGGGAGGCTAGTTGCCTTAGTTTTTTATTCCACATTACTTCATTGATTTTAGCTGTCATGTCGCCTTAGGTTCTACTTGGTTGTGACAGTTTCTTAGAATTTCCTTATTTTTATGAGCTTAATAGTTTTAGGGACTACTGATCAGATATATTGTAGGATATCCCTCTATTGAAATTTGTCTATTTTTTTTTTTAATGATGATATTAGAGTTAGATATTTTGGGGAGAAAGATCACAAAAATAAATGCCTTTTCATCACATCTATTAAGGATACATTGCTCTTGCATGCAGGATATGATTTTTTTTCCTGCTCATGTGAACCTTGCTTACTTAGTTTTCACGTTAACTTTTATATGCTATTTGGAACACACTATTTGAATATGCATGAATAATGATAAAATGATGGCCTATAATGCCCCTTCACTCCCCAACTCCTCAAGGATTCAAATTACTGTGCTTTGCACATCTGCTGGCAGCAAGTAAGGAATTGTAAAATATATTCAAATCCATAAATTGTGTGAATATCTGGTTTTTGTACATACTAGAATTTTCTGAATGTATGTGTGTCTCACTATCTTGTTTAATCAGTTTTAAGGGGTAAATAATTCTTGAGCTTATTAGGCAAAGAGGAAAAACAAATATTTAGTGGGATTAACATAGTTGTTCTCACTGAATTGGAGCTTTTCAATGATGCCTATAAAAATTTGCAGAAGTGAATTCTTAAAAGACATTCATGTTTAAATAGTTTATTAAATTTGTGTCAGTTGGACTACCTCAGTGAGCTTTGAAGATTTAGTATGAGATATTGAAGTATAATTTTCCTAGCCTTGGATCTTAGATTTTTTCTTCATTTGTTGTTACTGCTTTCATTATGACAAATATAAACTAATTTCAGAGAGTATATGTATAGCTCAGAGAGGCTATACATATAGCTATGTTCTGTTTACTTTTGAAGGGGAAGTATTTAATTATCATCATCAGTGTTATGTATCAACTTTATAAATGAAACTTGGGAGTAGATGTGTATTATAGACCCTGAAACATTGTAATTAATTAATCTTTAAGAGTTACAAATATGTGCCTTATCTGTAGTTGCCTTGTATTTTATTCATGTTTATGAATGATGTTTCATGGATAATATCTACTTCAGTATAAGTATATTTCTGAATATATTCGGCTTTAGAATGATTTGTTTACATGTGATTTAGGTCTTATGATTTTCTAGAAACCAGTACAGTATTTAAAATCCAATATTGAAATTTCATTCCAATGTAGCCTTCATGCAGCCTATTGTTAACCTTCCCCAGTTCCAGCCTTAGAACATGGTCAGGGAAATTGATGAGAAAGGGTAACTTCAATAGTGGTGGTCTTCCATCACTATTCTTACAGATGAGAAATCCAGGGCTCCAGGGCTGGTGGAGCCATGGTGGTAATGGTATTACTTCAGTCATCTTCTTTGTGTTGTTGCCAGGTTTCTTGCTAAATGTGGAAGTAGGAGTAAACAAAGTAGCCACATATGAGTTAAACTGAAAAGCTGATGATATTTCTATCATAAGCAGAGCTTTATTTGCTTTGATATTGTTAGAATTTATGGAGTTCTGTCATGTGTTTATCATTAAACTAAGTGTTCCATATTCAAAGATAACATGAAAAATTCTTTGCATCAAGAAGTAGATCACCTGGTAGAATAGATGGTCAACTAAAGAGACTATTAGAAATCAATCTACTGGAGGAATTCACAGCTGTGGCAACATAGATCTATTTCACTTAAACTGGGCTAGAGTCAAGGCAGAGTTCAAGAATCGCTGATATCTATTAAAGGGATTAGCTGAAGCAATGGGATGAAAATTTAGAAAAATAGCTCATTTGGTCACTCCTAAGCAATTGTGTATAGCGAATTGAGTGATTTTTTTTTTTTTTAAGGGAATGGCAAGTAGAGGCTGGAAAGATTGAAAAAAAAAAAAAGAAACTTTTCATTACCAGATAAATGTTTAAATTTGATCCTGAAGCTTAAAAATAGTCTTCAAGAGATTTTATGCAGGATAGTGAAGGATATTGATCTGATCTCTATTTTAAAATAAGCACTTTAGTTACTATGTAGGAAGTAGGGTAGAAGAGATAAAGCTTTAGAGAGAACCATTTGAGATGGTTCAGTGATTCAGAACAGATGACTTTGCTAGTAGTGACGGTTTGATTGAAATATCAATATATGGATATAAGAAATGAAGTGGAAGCAATAGGCCCTAGTGATATAATGAACATTGGGATAAGGCGTTAAGAATGATGGCAAAGTTTACAAGTTAGTTACCAGATCCCTCCTTTTAAATAGCACCGTTCATGCCACAGAGATCTTAAAAGATATTATGTTTCTACTTTCCCTTTCTCTTAATATTATCATACTCCCATTCTTTCACGAAGTCTACATCAGTAGAATAGTTTCATAGACAGTATGATTTCAAAGGCAAAACCATACCTGTGAGATAACTTATTTTACAGATTTGTGTGATCCCTCACAAACAAGAAGCAGGTAGTTCACAGTAGTTCTCACAGTTCATTAGAATGTCTGCTGTTGGAAAACACTCAGAAACAAGATAAAGGAAAGGCTTGCATCATGGGTGAAATATTCACACTTCACTGAAGAGCCAAAGTTTGTCAGATTTTGGATTAAGGAAAATAATCTCTAGTTTCATACTGTTAGCATTTGAAATAGTGTCAGTGTTTTTCTTGATATCTTCAGATTTTTTTTTAATCTATAATAAAAGTGCTTGTCAAAGCATCTCTTATTTATTTAGGGAACCAAGTCCATGCCATAGCTGTGGACTGAGGTTGATAGAATGCTGAATCCAAAGAGCAATGGACCTTAAAAATTGGCTTTTTGAACTCAAAGAGAGTCTATGATTTGTGGTTGCCAGTTGTGGAAGGGTGGAGGAAATGGGGAGACGTTGGCTAAAGAGTACAAACTTTCAGTTATAAGATGAATTAGTTCTGGGAATTTAATGTCCAGCATGGTAAAAATACTGTATTGTATACTTTAAAGTTGATAAGAATGTAGATCTTAAATATTCTCACTTCCCCCATACCCACTGTTAACTATCTGAAGGGATGGATGTGATAACTAACGGCTTTGTAGTAATTACCGCTTTGTAGACTATAAACTTAAACAGTGGTTTGTGCCAGATATAATGTTATAAACCTGGGAGGAAAAAATATAAATAAATCAATTTTAAAAGAAAAATGATTCCTTATTAAATTTTATTAAAGACACCGCTTCTTTCTGAAATACTGTTTTTATCTTTTCAGGATGAACAGAAACTACAGGAAAGTTTAAAGCAAGGAGCCACTATTATTGCTGCCTTAATCAGAGAGAGAAATTCTGCACTCACTGGTCAGCTACTGGTAGCATGAGGAAAGTGAAGAAAATTGCCCCCTGCGTTAGAAATGTTTACCTAAGTATCCCTTTGTGCATTCCTACCTATTGTATGTGGCAGAATGTTTTTAAGTTGTCTTTTATGTCTCCAAATTTGTAGGATGTATGCTGTTATAAAAGTGAACCAGTGTTTATATCTGTATAATAAAACCTATTGTGCATGTCAAATGTAAGTTATCTGAAACATAAAAGAATAGATAAAATGGAAAATAATAGCCTTGACATGAAAAATCTTTTCACAAAGGCATTAAAGGTCAAATAGAAATAATGAGGGTTAGCTAATCCTTCAAGAAATGAGAATTTAGGGAATGTCAACTGTTATCTCTATCATAATTGTAAATCACACTATAATGAAGCTAATACACAATATTCAGAATTACTGGTGCTGTAAAAGTTTTTACCATTTGATTTTTTGACTTATATTTTATTTTTTTCCACACCTTAAAATAAAAAAGAGATTGAGGAGATAACAGCAAACTCGTTCAAATATCTTCTCTAAAACCCTATGAGATAAAACTTCTTTCTGCTTTTCACTATTTTAAGATAGTATCTTTTTCTTGGCATATGAAATAATTTTGAGTTACATTACTTTAAAAGGTCTCTGATTTTTCTCAGTTTAAAAGAAGACTGGAAAGCTTCATAAAAGTGAATTTAAGTTGATCAATCCCAGGTTAGTCAACTACTAAAAGGCAGAAAATCTGTTGTTCATGAAAGAATTTAATTAATTATCTTTTGATATTATACTGCTACTGATTAATAGCAAGTTCATATTTTTTTCAAATTTCCATTGGAATACACAGCTTACATAGTGATGATTTTTATTATATTTTATAATAATGCAGTCCAGTTATCAGAGATGCCCTTTCTATGTATTTACTTTATGAATCATAAACACATTGGATAACATTATTCAAAATCTAAGGCTACTGTAAACTATAAAACTTGCACATGAAATGCTTGTAGTTAATGAGAGACTATGAAATACTACATTGTAGAATTTAACATGTTGGTTGATTTTCCCTAAATATCTTAAGTTTCTATGTTAAGGAGTATTTATATTTTACATTTAAGTAATACTAAGCAAGATATAATGGACATGGAGTAATAATTACAATTTGTCCTCCTAAGTGAAATGTATTGTTTGAATGTAGCTTGCATCTACATTTCTGGGCTTTCCACCTTTTCTTTTTCTCTTGGGATGTTGGGAAATATAAAATAAATCATTTAATTCAAAATTATGAAGGAGAAAATATGTGAGCAGCATTTGGATTTTGGTTAGATTGTCCTTGTTATTAAAAGTGAGTTGGCTGAGTTGTGAAAGGTACACACACTGTTGAAGTCTTCAAGTGCAAATATTTTAAGGATTTGAAAATGTTTATAAAGGCAAAATGGCAAATAATATCAAAGTTTAAAGAGAGAGTAAGGACACTGGGCTTATTTATGGCACAGCAAAATCATCGTACCTGTTACACAGTTGAGTTATCTTAGATTTCAACTTAATAATGGAATATTATACCAGAATTTATCTTTATACAAGAATTTATTCTTGAGCAATTACTTTATCATAGGCAACTGGAAACAGCTCATGTAACAGGGCTTAGTTAATAAAATAGTAAATTGTGTCTAAAATCTTCATGATTATCTTAGCATTTGATTTTCTGTTTATAGTTTCTAAACTGATTGTTAATATTGAAAATTTCAAGAAATCTTTCTGCATCCTTTGCTGTTTAGATTGGATCTTAACTGCCTTGTCCACAGGCATGCGGCAGCTTATGTAGCAAAAGGCAGGGTTTTAACTCAGCAATACCTATAAGAAGTGTTAAGCTCATCTACCTATATAATAGCAATTGCTGGTGAAGGACCTCCACCAGGGAGGTGGTGGGAAATAAGCCAGAAGCCCCCAATGAGCACTGGAAGAATGGACAAGGGAACAGGTCAGTCCATTGACCGGAGGAATAACCTCAAACTTTTGGCTTTCCAGCCGTCTTTCTAACATACAGAATTGGTAAAGGAAATGAAGAAAATTATTGCCACGATAGAATGATAAATTATTTTTATTGTATGTTTAGAGATCTGGAGGCAACTTTACTATTACGTGTTCATCAGCACTTCTGTAAACTTATTTTCATGAGAATAGTTCATTCTCACTGTATTTTTCAAAATGCCTTGAAAATAATAGCAATTATGACTCAGAGTTGTTGAGATTATTTTCTTCCTGTGTGTGGAAATTTTGAGGAAAGACTTTTCATTCTAAATTTATGCTACATTAATTAGGTGAAATATATTTTTTTAAAGAATTTAACACAGTATGTTTACTGGGTTGATTGATGATATTTTGATAAAATGTAGTATATTTTAATAAGTGATCAATTTAAGGGTTAACTTGTTACAAATATGCAACAAGTGGGAAATAAGCCAGAAGCCCCCAATGAGCACTGGAGGAATGGACAAGGGAACAGGTCTTTTAAGGATTAGTCCAACTCCATTTTTTAAAAATCCTCAACAAAATATTATTAAATCCAGTAATACATAAAAGTGATAAAATATCAGAACTATCAATAAAGTGAGATTTATCATAGGAATGTAAACTTGGTTTCACATTTGAAAATCAATATCATTTTTTTTGTAATAAACAAAAAATAAATAAATGTAACATCTGAAAAAAAAAAAAAAGAAAGTGAAAATCAAAATCAACAAAAAACTATGAACCAGAGACACTTTTTGGGGGGTGGGGGGCAGGAAGGGAGGGATTGGGGTCAGAATGGGGGGTTGCAATTGTATGAGGAATATAAAAATAAAATTTATTATTTAAAAAAAAAAAAAAAAGAAAATCAATATCATCATATCAAAAAGCTCAAAAAGAAAAATCATCTTACCATGTGAAAAGACACTGGGGGAAAAAATAATATTATCAATTCCAAAGACCATGCATAACTTTAAGTAAACTAGTGTAAAAGAAAACAATCAAAATCCATCCACAAAAATACCTATAGTAAATATTACATTTAATGGTGAAAGACTGAATGTTTTAGCCCTGAGAGTAGAAATAGGGGAGAGTTGTCTTTTCTGGAGTCACTTGAAGTATTTTGCTTTGACTTAGCAGGAAATTATTTTCTAAGCTTGTTTATTAAATTATAAAGATCAAATTTTACTTTATAGGTATCAGCACAGTGATCACTTTATAAAACTTAAGTTGTAGTAGAACATTTGCTTATACTAAATCTGTATTTTTTACTTCATTTAACATTGAAACTATGCTAATAAAGCCTAAATTATAATGATTGAAATGTTAAAAAATACATTAAGTAGAAAAAATTTGAAATTTAGAAGTTTAATTCAAAAGTAACAGAATAAATGTAAAGTATATATTATTTTAGGATTTGTTAGTTTGGTTTAAAATGAATGAACTAGAAAGGTCTATGAAGGTGGTATATGGCATTATGTATTTTCTTGTACATTTTTATCTTCAAAATTGTGGAAAATGTATAGATATTTTAAATGAAAATTAATTGCTATTAAACATGCAAAATATACTCTTTACAAAACAATATAAGAAATTGATGATAAATTTTTGATCTTTTAAAATCTAATGACAACTTCCATTGCTATTTAGTATATATCCACATATTTTTCAAAGTATATCATGATTGAATAGCTGTAATATTCTAAAAATACAAGAATGTGATGTTTTAGATTATAGACAGAATTGAGATCTAGACTTACTGTTTCATAAAATATGTTAACAATTTGCAAAACCAGGACTTTCAATTAGATTTTTTTCTTTCTTTCATATTTAGTTTGTTTTCTAGCAATTATATGGTCTACTAACTACATAAAAGTTACACTCAGGCATAATGGAAAGGGTATCATAATTACGTAATGTACACATGAATGAGTAAATTAATTTTTCAGAAATATTTTCCACCACTTGGCTTCAGTGGAAGAAATATCTGTCTACCACTTGACTTTGGGATTCATCATGTGATTTGCTTTGACCAACAGAATGAGTCAGAAGTAGCAGCAGACCAGTGAGACTAGACTTAAGAGACCTTGCATGTTGCTGATTGCTTGCTTCCACTTGTACTACTACAATGGGAAGAACATACCCAGCCTGCCCTACTGCTTCCAGAAGGAAAACAGGAGCCCAGATCAGCTGATCTCCAGCTAATCCACAAATGGATGAATATGCCAAGTTGAGATCAGCAGGGTCATCTAACCCATTCATTTGGCCTCCAGGAGAAAAGTAAGCTAAATAAATACTCATTAATTTTTGCTAGTATTAAATCTTTCTATTGCACACCCATCGGTAACCAGGGAAAGATGATCTGTGGCAATGTGTGATGTATTTACTCTCACAAGTTTAGGATGTACGTGGAGACATACTCTTTATTGAAGCAGTGTACTTTTAAGAGAACTTTCAGTCAGAGCAATGAATCCAAATACTGCAAGTTTCTGAGAATACCTCCTTCCCTATTAAACAGTTACTCAAGCAGAAAAGTAGATCTGAATGTTTAGAAAAGTTTCAAAATAGGTGAAACATTTCTTGAAATGATAGAGAGTTAAAATATGGCATTTACAATAATAGATGTTTGCAACAGCTTAAATATTTTTTAGTGGTATCATGTTCTGTAAACTGTTCTTAATAGTTTATACAGTTTTTTCCCATATTGTTTCAGGATTTTTTTTTTTTTATTGAGGTATCATTGGTTTACATTTTTGTTTGGGTCTTAAAAGTATAGGATCTCCTCTCTGCCTCAGATGTATACAATTTTTTTTTTATTCTTTATGTCTTGATATGCTAAATAGTATATTAATCTTCATTTAAAATGAGGAAACCAAAGCATGTACATTTTGAAAAACTCATACTTAAGAACACATGGAGAAATGAGATTCAAAATGGGTTATCTAGCTTTAGGGTTTCTATTCGTAAGCACAGTGATACATGATATACTATATTATAGTACATAGTATTTTAAGAATGACTTTCAACAATAGGGGTCTCAAATATTTTTTTCCCTTTTTCAGTTATCTTTATTGAAGTAAAATTGGCTTACATCATTGTATTTGTTTTAGATATTATGGGTTCAAACCTTTACAAATGTATGTTTTCGCACTATGCCCACCATTTGAATCCCAGTTTTCCCCTCACCATGCTCCATTAATATCAAGAGAAAGCAAATGGATAATGTGTGTTAATTTTTTAATGCAACACTTCTATTTGTTATCTTTTCTTTATCATCACCCCTATACACAAACATATTTTTGAATATCTGTGGATTTTCATGAGAAATACAAATGGAAATCTATAAGGACTGATGTCCACATGAAGTTATCATCAGTGCCATCTCTTTGAACACTTACAGTTTGGGGCTTCCATCAAATAATGAATGATCAGAGGTAATGAAAGTGGACGGTGATAAAATAGCAGCAAATACTTTGTTGATGAATCAGAATTGCTTCTAGCCATTTGTACCTCAACAATAAAGCAAGACAAAAAAAAAAGTTAAAATCCATTTATCATCTTTGCAAGAAAAAGGAAGGTCTAGAAGAATGCCCAGGTACAAGGAAGTATGAAATTCCTTGCCATGAACATTCCTAGCACAAATGTTCACCAGTATTGACTTGATGGGAAAATTTTGAGGTGAGTGGTGCCAGTATAATGAACTAGGCCAGAATGGATCTAGAGCCTTCCCATCTGAAATATTGGAATGTTTGATTTTTAAAAATACTTCAGCTGAAAATCATTATGCAGATTTATTCTCTACTTAGTGAGGATGCTACCAAATAATCTGAACATTTGTTAAAACATCTGGGTCTATTTAGCATCATGAATGAACCCTTGTTATCAAACTTTTTTTTTCTTTATTTAATCTAAATTAATCTTTGCAGAGTCTCTGTGAGGTAGGTCTGGAGTAAACTTACGACAATTGCAGAAAGATAGATGAAGAGATTAAGGGTTTTTGATTCCCATCCTCCTCCCATTTCCCTCTAACCCTTCACCCCCCCTCTCCCCCCCACGTCCCCCTCCCCTTTCCCCACACACACTCTGGAAGCTAAACTGAGTTGGAAAACTAGAATCTCTGCCTTTGCTTTGGCTGGGCAGCTTCTTAGGGAATTGAATTATAAACAGGAGAGATTGTTCTTTATTTGAGCTTTTAAAATTCTGATTTAAATCTTCTTCCAGAATTTTATCTGGATGCATTTTCCCAAATTTTCCATTTCGCTAAATAGCATTTGAGCCCAGAGGCAAAAACTTCAGCAAGACAAGCCTAGTGATCTTTGTGACCTGAGTGGAGACATGATTCGAGATTTTACATGGAGGCCAATTTTGTAAGAATTTCCATTTGTCTACAAACTATAATAATTGGGATATTTGGATAAGGCTTGGCAAAGCATCTAGTAGATTAACTGAATGAGGTCTCTGGAGCTTTGCCATTTTGGGGTTATCCAATTTGGTTTTTGATCTACCTCACTGTAAGATGGCTATTGAAATTAGCTGGTTTGTTGGTATGTCAGGTTTCTTTCTTTTTTTTTTTTCCTTCCTATTCTTTACATCTGAGGCTTTAATTTGGTTGAAAGCAAGTTCTTCAGTCTAAGGGGATAACAAAACATCCCTTTGAGGAGGAGGAAATAGATGATAAAATCTGCATGTTCCTACTTTTTTCAATAGTTTGGAGGAATTTCTTTTCCATCCTGTGTATGTTTTTAAGACCCAGTTAAGTTCATAGTTCCTTTTTCTTTTCTTGTCTGAATAGAAAATCATTCTCTTTAATCCCACCTGAGTTTTAAAAATGTATTATTGAACTGCCCTACTCAGGAATTCAGTTGCCTGTTTTAGTGAATGGATGTGTGTATGACCTGATAGTAAAAGAATGCTATTCAAAGACATTTCCGCCTGTTTGTTTCTTGGATCAGTTACTGTTCCCATAAATCTGGAAAGATGCCAAAATATGTAAACAAATTAAGAGTTTTGAGGATCCCAGTGGGGATATTCTGAAGTTCTACCATAAATCAGGAATTTAAGATAAGAGCAATATACTATAATATGATGGCAGGGAGAAAAAACTATACACCATATGTTCTTGGCTCTGGTTTGGGAATTAATGGATATTAAAATATTTGGGTTAATCACAGAGTTATACTTAACATCACTTCCTTCTAAATCTACATATGTTTCAAAAATGGATTTTTATTTCATTAAATTTAATTATCACTTAATATCAAGCAACCCTTCATCTCTTAAGCCACTGCATTATGTGTTTTTAGCACACAGTTTCTAATATTTAAATTAATTTTCTATTATTAGTAAAGAATTAATGGTTATCTTTATACATGTACATAAATATGTCAATAAACTAAAGAACAGTTTAATTGACTGGGAATTTTAACCCTAGAGCTTTTTTTTAATTTAAATTTTATTTTTATATTACCCATACAATTATAACCCCCTTATTTTGACCCCAATCTCTCCTTTCCCCGCCCCTCACCTCCCATAGAGTGTCTCTGGTTCATAGTTGTTTGTTGATTTTTGATGCACATTTTTTGCAACTGTCATAGCACATGAAATGAAAATGGTGGTGGAAGAGATAGAGTAATGTGGCATACTCTGATCTTCTCTTTCCTTTTGACCCAGAATTAACTTAAAGCTAAAACTTCCTCCTGAGAAAGAATACCCAAAGTTTTAATTTTACCATTCACCATTATGATATCTCCATGATCTCTTTTACTATCTCCCTCTCCCTTTTCCTCTCCCACTTCCTTTCCCTCTCCCTCTCCCTCTCTGTGTGTGTATGTGGTGTGTGTTTGAGAGAGAACAAATGTAGAGAAAAGTATTTTTATGTCAACATATCTTGAAGGAGTTCTAAAAACAATTGTATTATGATCTTGTGCTTTGTGCACATACTCAAGAAGAATTTGTAGAGATTAGATATCACTGATTTAGCGAGGTTTTTCTGAAAATAAATTAGTGAAATGGAGAAAAAGATACTGTACATATGTCTACATCAGTGCATATTTCTCCATAATATTTGTAAATTAACAATATCCATTATCAGTGCAGATTCAACACATTTTTTTACATCATTGTGTAACTTTGATATTGGTGCCCTCCCTAAACTGTGATTAACTAAAAGTGATTTCACACTCTTGTGTTTTTAAAGCACACATTATTATAGCATGAACCTACATTGTTTCTGCCAGAAACTCACTGACACTGAGTGCCCTCCCCAGTACTTTCATGCATTCTCTAGAATAAATGCCTCAGTTTCTTTTGCCCTTCATTTTTCATCTTGTCACCTCTGATGCTTTGACTTTCAGTAGAAAGCCACTGTACTGGGTACTCCCAACTCTGGTCTTCATGTCCCTATATGTCACAGTGCAGCTTCTGGGGAAGGCCTCTCTCTGCATCCATGGGTCAGTTTGTATCCAGCTTACTCTAAGAGCTTGATCTCAGATATGTGCAGTTTGAGGAAGGAGAGGCTGGACTCTCCTGAAAGCACAATCATCTTTCTGTTGTTAGGGGGAAATGTGTTATCACCAGAGGGAAGCAAAGGTAGGTTTGCCACTCACACCAGCCATCGAGCTACTTGGCTCACAATCAGATATTTTTTAAATTCCTACAAGTTTGGGCCTATCTTGTCCTGGATCAGTCAGTACCTATCCATAGAACTTTGCTTATTCTTTGCGTCACCCACCCCAATGGGTATAGCACTATCATCTATGTTTTTGGAGTAAATTTTCATGTGTCCAACAAGTTAAACACAAAAGTGTGAATATTGATATATTTTCCCAGAATCTGAATTTTTTACTCTTAGCCATGGTCAATTTATAACCATCTAATGAAAAATAATTTTCCCAAAGTATCTCATATACAACTGGGAGAATTATGAGATTTGACTAAGTTAAATAATACAGTTTTACAAAATATCACAAATATCAGTAAAGTATATAAAAGACTGCCTTTTTTCTTTATAAGGTCTCTGTGGTCTTTATTATGGTTAAAGACCAATAAGTTGTGTTTTACTATTTTCCAGGTAATTTTCACGTATTATCAAGATGTAACTTTCTTGAGAACTTATTTACCCATATTTAACAGAAGACCCTAAAGTTTATAGAGGCCAATGAGGAACCTAAGATTGTATAGCTTGTAAGTGGCACCACCAGTACCTACATCCTATATATTTATTCCCTCTACACTGAATTTCATCAATAGGATCTAAAAGTTATCCTAAATAAAGGTAAGAA